GAGCGGGAACATCGGAGCAGCAGGAGCTCCGGAGCAGTGGGAATGCAGGAGCAGCGGGAACATGGAATGAGTGGGGACATCAGAGCAGCAGGAGCACCGGGAGCTCCAGAGCTGCAGGAGCACCAGAGCAACGGGAACACCGGGAATACTGGGAATGCTGGGAATACCGGGAATGCCGGCTCCGCTCACCGCGCAGCGCCCAAAGCGGCTGTAGCGGCGCCCGCCCTCGGCCGCACTGTAGATGTAGATGAAGTTGTCATGGGATCCCAGCGCCAGGAAGTCGCCGTCTGCGCGGGAATGGCCGGGAATGCCGGGAATGCCGGGAAACGGGGCCGGGAAGGCCGCCCGCGCGGATGCGGGACCCACCGGGCGAGTAGCGCACCACGGAGAGCTGCTCGTTCCCGTCGGATCCGGCCGCCAGCACCTGCTGGGAATCCGCGTCCAGCACCAGCCACCTGCGGATGAGCCGGGAGACACTCTGGAAAGCTGCTCCGGAACGATGCTCCTCTGGAATGCCACTCTGGAACAATGCTCCGGAACGATGCTCCGGAATGCCATTCCGGAACGATCTCTGGAATGATGCTCTGGAAAAAGGCTCCAGAACACCGCTCCGGAATGCCACTCCGGAATGCCGTTCCGGAATGATGCTCTGGAACAATGCTCCAGAATGCCACTCTGGAACACCACTCTGGAATGCCGCTCCGGAACACCATTCCAGAATGCCACTCTGGAATGCAGCTCCGGAATGCCGCTCCGGAACACCATTCCAGAATGCCACTCTGGAACATCGCTCTGGAATGCAGCTCCGGAATGACGCTCCGGAACAACGTCCCAGAATGCCACTCCGGAATGCCGCTCCGGAACGCCGCTCCGGCAGGATTTACCTTCCCGTCTGCAGCCCCACGGCCACCGCGTGTCCACCGGGATGGAAGTCGGCGCAGAGGCCGATGTCCTGCGGGAAGAGGAGGCCGTTGGCGCTGGGGATGCTGCCGGCTCCCATTCCCATTCCCGATTCCGGCACCTCCAGCGGGAGGCTCCAGGCCAGCGCGTGCTCCTGGCTGTCCCACACGCAGAGCTGCCGGTCGTGGCCGCACGTCAGGAATCGGCTCCGGGACGGATGCGTCGCCAGGCCCCAGAGCTCGTCCGTGTGGCCCTGCGGAGCCGGGATGCTCCGTGTGGGAGC